ACTCACTCACACTCACACTCACACTCACACTCACACTCACACTCACACTCACACTCACACTCACACTCACACTCACACTCACACTCACACTCACACTCACACTCACACTCACACTCACACTCACACTCACACTCACACTCACACTCACACTCACACTCACACTCACACTCACTCTCACTCTCACTCTCACTCTCACTCTCACTCTCACTCTCACTCTCACTCTCACTCTCACTCTCACTCTCACTCTCACTCTCACTCTCACTCTCACTCTCACTCTCAGTTCGCACGGGGCGTCTGTGGGCGCAGCTGGTTTATTGGGGGAGGGGATCAAACCCAAGAACGGCAACAGCAAGTGCACATGTCTGCAATGAACCATAGCCTCAAATGGGGGAGCTCCGTTTGCTTAAGCTCCTGGGGAACAAAACGAGTCTCCAGTAGTGATGGATTCTCTTTAAACCAACAGGGGAAAATGATAAATATTCTTAAGCAAACGGAAGTAGGCAGGGAATTACACCATAACCTTTATAGCTATTTACCTTAGTCATGGTTGAAACTATAACCTTTTGGCTACCGTGGTTCCCTTTATGACATGGGAGAACCTCCATTAGCCCCCTGGGAAAAAATAGGTCTCCAGTAGTGATAGATTCCATTTAAAACCAAGAGGGGAAAACAACTAATATCCTTAAGCAAACCGGAGGGGAATGGGAACCATCACCATAACCTCAAATGAAACCACGCCCTTGGCATAGAAAGACTCGCCTTGGCCAGGCGCTCGGCGCAGCAGCGAGGACGCGCCAGGCAGGGCCTTTGGGCGATTTTTGTCAGGCACCTCCGCGGGTTTCGGCGGAAAAAGGTCGAAGACAAAGGGGGTTTCGCCTATAGGGGGTTTCCATAAGGGTCTGTAAAACGGTTTACTGGCAAGTACCAAACCCCTATAGACACCTCAAACACCTGAGGGGATGGAAGACGTTTAGTGGAGTACCTCAAACGGATCCGCTTGGACCTTTCATATGATTGCCTACCCCTATTAAGACACCTCAAATAACAATGTCTTGGTGGGAAACTACCACCAAACCCTAGAAAAGAAGAGGAAAAAAACAAACCGGATGTTACGTACTTGAATTACTTCCCGCAGTTGACTGGCAACAATGGTTGCCAAAACCTGAGAGTCTGCGTGTGTGTGTGTGCCTCACCGGTCTTTCCGAAAATCCAGCTGCCAGGAGCCCCAGACCCGATCACACACAACGAAAACAGCGTTCAGCTAAGGGACCGTTGCCAGGTGCCACTTGAAACAATGAAAACTTTTCCGCAACCTGACATGTGTTGCTTTCTCGAGTTTCTGCAAAAACAAGCAGTGTGTAAACTCGAGCACTTCTTGAAGTGCCCTTTCAAAGTGGTCCAATTGCTTTGCCGGAAACCCTGCTTATGAAAACTGTTTGTTGCCAATCCTGCCCAAAGAGCTATTTCTATTGCATACTTTTGTTTGCTTCAGTTTTGGTCACAAGTCACATGTCGTATGCTTCAACTCACTCTACCCCAGCTAAGTGCCTCAGTCAAGGTAATCCCGTCAACAGGTTACCCGCCATCCTGCAGATTGATCTCCCATTTTTCTGCTCTATCGTTTTGTGGCGAACCCACAACAATAATACGGGAAGCACAACTAGGTCCTCCAGTGGAGAGGTTAGAATAAGGGTACCGTTGTTTTTCCGTAGGCTGTTTTAGTTGGGGAACCCTCCCAACCAAATAGGGGAGAGAAAGGGCACTACTGGGGGACCTTGACAACTACAACCATGGGATATTGGGCAACTCTATTCCATATCCAACTGGTGGCTTGCCCAAATGGACCTTGGTGGGTCCTGCGGCATTTGCGTCTGCTAAACAACCAGTCACTACACAAAAAGCACAGAATTGCCCATGTTTGCTGCTTGTCTTGAAAAGCCAAGCCACCCACTCACATTTCCTTCCTCTCATCCCTTCCAGATACCCACCAACCCCCCAGCCAGCAGGCATCCAATTGGAGCCGTCCAGAGCGAAGACCAGGCGGCAAGTCTTGGTCAGGCACTCCACAGTTGGCTCCTCCAAATCGCCAGGAATCAAAAACACACACCGTCTCAAAGGCGGCCATCCCTGGTTGATCCCCTGCTCAAAGTTAAACAATCAGTGGGCCTTGAATGAAATACATCCCTTCCAGCACCCCCCAACTATTGCTTGTCTGGACACTACTTGGGATTTTGGACACGCGGAAAAGCAGTTGTTGCGGGGGTGCTGGAAGCGATGGATTTTCATAAATCTTATACCAAACTCTAAAAATGGATTGAGACCACAAGGCAATGGACACCGAAATAACTCAAAGACCACCTTCCATTTGCTTCAGCCCCCGGGGATAAACAACAATATTTCCAGCAGTAATCAATTCCCTCTAAAACCAAGGAAAAACAAAACACATCTCCATTTCAGCACATGGAAGCCTCGGCCGACCCTTCCTCCAGTTCCATCTTACCCACCCGCGGCTCGAAGCACATCGCCGCGTTCGCGTTCGCCGCCTCCGGCGCCGTGCGCCGAGTCGCCGAGTCCAGCGCGGGCAGGCACCAGGCGCCGTCCGCGTCGGTTTCGCGGGACGTAGCCGCGGCGAGGTCACACCGCAGCAGCTCCAAAAGTCGGGCGCGCTGCTCCTGCGCATGTCATTCTCTGGCAGTGGAGCCTGAAAGCCGTACGCCGCCACCAACTCCCCGAACTCTTCCCCACAAGAAAGTGAAACGCAACACGTCGTGCGATGGATCGCGCACGGTAGTCCTGCTACGGTAGTCCTGCTGATGGTGATTGATGCGATTCACCAAGGTAAACAGCAACAAAAATTAGTGTTCATTGCCATGGATGCCATGGTTTCTTGGGTAGTGTAGGATTGCGTCCATCCACAGAGTTAACGGGACCTTTACTTGCTGGTTCTCAGGGAATGAGTTGGAATGACCCAGAGCAGAACGAGGTGTCCTTAAAGGGGGATCCCTAGGTTCATTCAACACCCGGAACGGTCATTCTCTACTGAGCACCAGCAAAATGAACCAACACCTGAGTTCCATAAGGGGTCATTGCTCAACTTCTTGCTCCTGTGCAACAACGAAAGAAACCTGTTGCAGATGTTGGAAACCACCCCTGGCGACGGGATTCTACATTGTTTAGCTATCAGTAGTTGTTTTACGCATCTGGGCAATTCATTTCAATCTAAGTTGGCAAAACCGATTTCCCAATTAAAGAACCCTCATGGCCAAGCTGGTTTTTCACCCCAGGTTAAACAGTTATATGGCTCATTTCGACTTGCCCCCGGTGATAACACCCGCAAGGAGCGCAAGCTCAAAATGAGAGTTCCACGGGGAAAAAAAGCATCTGAAGAGGTTCGACACATTCCAGGCTGCGTCACAATGATGCGACAAAAAAAAAAAAACATCTGGACTGTGGCCACCCCGGTTTTGGCGCATCCCCCCGAAGTGGAACACCCTATAGCTGAAATCAACGGCTTCCAACACCGCCCGTCGTGTTCCGCCGCCCGCCTGCTGGGGCAAGCCCCGGAGCACGCTGAGCTCCCGCGGCCGTCGCGGCTGTCGCGGCTCTGGCTCGCAGAGCTCGCGGAGCCGCGCTCGCCGCCGCTTCAGCAATTGCAGGCGGCGCAAGGAAGGCGAGCAGGGCAAGACCATGGCGCTCCGAAAAACCTGGCCTAAGGCTTGATGGTCTTAGGTCCAGTAGAGAGGTTAGAATAAGGGTACCCGGTTTGCTTTTTCTGGAGAATAAATTTTAGTAGGGGAACCCTCCCAACCAAAAAAGGGTAAAAGGGCACTACTGGGGGACCTAGTTGAGGTGTCGGGGTTGGTGGTGCCAACCTGGCTTTCACTTTCGGGGGCTCGTCAGATTCTCCCATGGCCTAAGTCCATCTTTCGGATTGGGTCGTCCTGAGGTCTTTCGGATTGCGCAAAACAATCCGAAAACTTCCAAACGCATTAAGAATTGGATCCCCAACCCAAGTAAAGGACCTCACGCTGAGCTCGTACCCCCAGGTGAGCTCGCTATAAAATCGGCAGATTCTTGGGTCCTTCAAAATGGCAGAGGAAGTGTCGGGGCTTCTCAGCGGTTCTCAGGGCCAGGGCTCGGGGTCTCCATTGGAGGGGTGTTTCGTCCAGCAGGAGTCGCCTAAAAGGCGATCAACTTTGGGGTCGCCTTCATTTGAGACGAGCGCCATCTGCCAAATGTCAAGTGTCAGTCCGCTTCGGAGCTTTGGTAGCCTCGTTTGCCAAAGGCCTGGAAATGATGCAACATGAGCCCCTACCAGAAACCAGGGCTGCAAAAATGTCACTCAAACTTACCCTCCCAAACCTGAGGAAACAGGCAAATAAACAATCTGAGAATGTTTGGCATTCTTGGTTGACGTTAGAAGGGGGAAAAAATAGCAGTTAAGTGGGGAAATCCCACTAACAAGCAAACATGTAAAATGTTTCCCAACAACATTAGTCTTGGTTATATAAGTTGCTGTTTGTTCTACAGTTGAGGCAAGGTTCATATGCTCAGCCATGGCAGTTCTAAGCGCGCGAAGTCCAGCATGTGATTTTTTTCTTTCTGCCAGGGTCTCGGACAGTCTACATAGCTGCAAGCCAAACGTGCATTGGCTCAGCAAAAACAGTTTTGATTTCAGATGTTGACCGAGTTGCTCTGAACGTGCAAGGACGTGCTTTTCCATTTGTTTTGTTCTTGGAAGTGCGTTCCTATTTGAGTGGATTCGCATCCAGGTGTTTCACCCGGTGACCCTTTTGGACAACTAAGGCCCCTTTTCTGCAGCCAGTTGGCGACACACACACACACACACCCGCCCCGAATGGGTTGGTCGTTTGTGAGGCTACCAGTGGGGCTGATTGAAAGGGAAGCGAAGCAATTGAAACACCAATGTTGGGGTGAGCCCATTTGGACTCACCAAACGGATGATGCACTTAGGCCGATCTCCGGTCTTGGCTGCCCACCTCCCCTGCTTGAGCCCTTCTTCGAGCTGCCGCTTCTCCTGCGGGCGAGCGACATCTGATTCATCCGATCCGCTTTTTGCAAATAAAAGTTGCAGGGCCGTTGCCATATGGTGCCGTTTTGCGATTGAACAGGGGGTGCCCATAAATACCAGCCAAAAAGGATGCGTACTGAAGGAAGATTAATCGGGCCATATCAATGGCCCGTACAACTTTGGTGGGATTCTGTCAAAGGGGCTCGCCGCCGCCATGTGAAACACAAACACTAATCCAATGGCAAAAGTGCAACGGCGTCTCTGGGAGAGTGTTTCAGAACTATGTCACACACCACTGTGATATAGAACACAACTCCAGAGGATGTCTGGAGATACAAGGATATTTGTTTTGGCTGGTTGACTTTGAACAAAGCGAATGCCCCACGTTGCCAATTCGAAGGATCCAAGGGGTCAGTCTGAAACTCACATTGGACTGCCCGAAACCCAACCTCCGGTCCTGCCAATGGCCATGCAGGTTCACACAAAATTGGGTGTTTTTTTCAACCAGGAAGTTGCTGGCATTGAGTTCAAACCACGTCTCATGTAGGGACCATGCCGCAATCTCCATCACCAAAAAGAACCTCCACACACAAATTCTCAGCCATGCACACCTGGGCTATGGCCGCAACTGGACGTCATGTTTAGCCAGCATTCAGACCTTCTCCTTTGGGCGAATCGGATCCGACCCTGGACCCCCTGCAACCATTCACGACATGCAACTCTTGCGCCTGGAAAGACAAAACGAAGGAACACCAAAGAGCAAAGTAGAAAGGCAAGCCGAGAGACGTTTCCTCTAAACGTGGAGGATTCCGTGTTCACCGTGGATTCCGTTCGATCACAGGAGCTTAAGCAAGAGACAGCTCAAAGGCTTGATTCAGGGCTTGATTCAGGGGCTCATCCGGGTCCCTCCCCCTCCCTCGCCTCGCAGGTCCCATGATTTAAACATGGGTTACCTCTCCACACCTTTGGTCACCGAAGGGAGCGCGCCTCCAACTCCGCGAAGTGCATCTGCTGAGCATCTTCCAGCTTCACCTGTGACATCGCCGCTAAAAAAAGGGACCCCCCCCGAACAACTCACTTCCGATCGAGCGGATTGGCCAAAAAAAGTAACCAAACTGTTCGTTTACCACTAAAATGGCCCACACTCAAAAAGTGACTAAAGTCCATGAACTCAGGAAGTGAGAAATTATTGCGCTAGCTGACCCCTCGACAAAAAGTGAACAACCTTTTTGTGGGTATACGGAAATTCGACCTGTAAGGAGACACACGCACATCGGGTACCTTCCCCATTCTTTCCAGGATCCTCTTTCTAGAAAACCTCCGGAAACCCAGGGAAAACGGCCGGAGTTTGGAAAGAACGATGGTTGAAAAGGATGGGGAAACGGAATCAACCCCTGGAAGAATGACAACAAGCAACTTATCGTCAATAGGCAACATGATGCGCACCCTCAGGCAAATGCAACATCTCTGTCGAGGCTTCCTCTGCTTCACCCCCGAAGGCCCAAAGAAGTGGAGAACCCCCCCCCCCCGATACCGGGGATGTACAAAATCCGCACCAGCCGCCAGTTGGGACGGGTGAAAACCCAGTACTGGTTGATGAACCACCTGCTGACTGGTGCCGGTGGATTTTCTCCACGGTAATTGGCTGTGGGTCAAAACATAAGTACCCAAAACGGAGCCCTGGTAAATGGAAACTTGGACTGCAACCTGCGGTCCCCTGGTGGTTTAATTTTGGCCCATACCCATTTCTGCGGCGGACCTTCAGCTGCTGCAAATGTTCCTTGCTGCTCTGCAACTCCTGCACCTGCGCCTGCAATGCTAAGAGGCGCCGCAAGAAATGCCACCAATGGCGATGCCATGGTTAAAAGCCGATGGGAAAATCGTGACCAGCATAGCCAAACAAACCGATAATACATGGCCAACTTGGGGAGCATCAACAAGTGGAAGAGAAAGGGTCGCTTCCAATCTTGCGAAGAGCAAGTTTCAAACAAAAACAACAAGCAGGGGGACCGGGGGACCCTTCACGGAACGGGGAAGGATCTTGCGGCTTGCCTTTCCCGAATCTTCAAACAGCTTTTGGCCCCAAAGAAAGCTTCCAACAGTGGCATGGCGCAAACTCCAAAGTCAAATCTCCGGGTCAAATCTCCTGGGAGATGGAATTCCTAACTTCCCCTTTTCTCGCTTTCCGTGCTGATTTGGGATTAGGCTTTGGTTCCCTATGTAGACAAAAAACAAGAACACCCTCGAACACGATGCCAAAGGTGCAAGGTCGCTGGTGTTGCCCAGATCTCCGATGGGTGGTGTCAAACGACCCAGGTGGTTGGTTTCCTCTCGGTGTTCCCGCCCCCCCGGAGTCCTCGCGTCTGGCCAGCTGAGCCAGCGCCTGTGCACGTCTGAGGGCTGTGCTTTGGCCCCCCCGGACATGACGCCTCCAATGCCCCGACCCCCGGACCCTCCAACACCCTCAACGACAACCCATTTGGAGGGTCCAAAAACAGTCGGGATTTGTTAGGGAGAGTTGATTAATTGGGCCAAGTCTCAAAAGAGGGGCGCCACAAAAGGATGTTTTCTCTGTGGTCCTGACAAAAAGACACCCCAAAGTGGTGCTCCCAAAGTGTGAAAAGTCCACTTGGCCTGCTGGGTTACTCCAAAAATAACATGTTCAGATGTGTTTCCATATTTGGTCTACCCGAAGGTTTGTAATAAAAAAGGATAGGCTCCCTGAACCCTCAAACCTGCAAGTATCAAGCCTTGGACGGGGTCGTTTTTCAGGTGACAAGCGTGCCAGAGGAACATGGCCCATTATCCACGAGGTCCTCCTGTTACCTTTAGGACTTGGGACTTGTGGGGTTTTACGTTAGTTGCCTTTGCTGCCGTGTGCACGTCTCAACAAATGTTTATGGACTTGGGCACTTGGGGCGGTTTGATGTTGATAGGGCAAGCGGCGCGTTTTGGATAGGGCAGTAAAGCCAGGCTCCCACTTGCCGAGAGTAAGATCAAAGAAGGGCAGTTGCTGACTACGCAGTTCGAATGCTACCGGCCCTCCTGGTTAGTTACCCCTCAAGGCATTTGTCACAATAAAAACCCGGCACTCAAAGTTTCACGGCCAGTGGTTGGGACTATCCCTTGCTTTATCTGCCGTTTTGAGTCCTCCTCAAGGAGGGCGAGACGGGGCAAGGCAGCCCAGTCGATTTTTCTCAACCAAACTGAGCAAACGCAAAGGGGTGCCATGGAAATAGAGGCGCAATTCCAGACGTTTGCCCAATTGGCCGTGACTTAAAAATACGACCCGCACCCCCCCCCCCCTCCCCCGAGCTCAAAAGGCGCGCTCGTTTTTTGCCTGACGTTGCGCTGGCTCTTTGGTGAGTTGGAAACATTCAAAGGTTGGACCTGACGGCCGGGGCATTTGAAGGTGTTGACCTTTCGCACTCCAATTCATCAGGGATCCTTACATTATACACCTGAACATTGCCTTGTAAATGGTGGTGTCCCTGTATTTTGGTGGAAAAAGCCATGCTTCAAATGGGCAACATGTATTTTTTAAGGAGCCCTGTTCATGTTTTCAGGCAGAACCCCTCCTTGGGGTCACCCAAAAGGAAAGTCCTCAAGCACATGGTGAGTGCCGGCTTGCACCAGTTCCCAACACGTTGGGGCCCTGTTGTCGAGGCTCGGAACAACCATTTGGAGCGCCTTAAGGAAGCCACTCACGCTGAAAGTTGGTTGTGTTGAAGGGACACCGAAAGAAACAGGGCTCCCTATATTTCCCCTTAAAACATCACCACCACCAAGGGACACTCACCTTTCATGGGCCAAAAAGGTGATGTCTAAAACCACCAACAAGGGAAATATAGGGACACCATTTCAGAAAGTCGGGCCCGGTTTACCCCTTTCATGTTGGAGGGGGGGGTTGTCCGTATCGAATTCAGAGACAAACCAATTTTTGCCCACGGAGAGCTGACTGGCTTGTTCCAAGTTGGGACGCCGGCATCCTGATCCTGGAGCTTGGTTGCTGCAACATGCTGCAACGACCCCCCCTGCAAAAAGTGAACAACTTGTTGGGGGGTTTGGTGGAAAACACAACGTGATTGTCCAAAAAGTTAAAGTCTAAAGATCCAACCCAGCAGTCAAGTAGAACTAATCCCCAACAGCAAGTCCCTGGAACAGTGCAGGAATCATGGCCTTGGCCGCTCTGAGCTATCTGGGCAAAGTTCTCGAAGCTTTCAGCTGGGGGAAAGACCATCTGCCATAAGGGTCCCGCCTGTTTTGGGCCCTCCAAATGGGTTGTTGTTGAGGGCCCTTGAAGAATTGGTCGGGGTTCTCCATTGGAGGGCTTGAGGGGGTCGGGGCTCATTCCCATGGGCCAACACCGAAATTTTGCTCCCACCGAAGGCCCGCGTGCCATTGAAACCGCTGACATCCCTCATCCTCAGCCCAGCCACGCGCCCAATCCGTCCCTTGCTTGCAGAAACCAGCCCCCTGTTGGGGGTGAAGACCTAACAACCAGAGCCTAGTGACTCCTGCCCCCCCCGGCGCAAACAAGACACAGGGACCATGGGCGCCATGTGACGCCGCTTTTGGGCCCGTCGAAACTCGGGATGCAACGTGTACGGCGACCAGCCGAGCACCGGTAGAAAGATGAAATCGGTAGACACCATGTTCAATTAAGTCTAAATTTAAGATGACACCTATACCGATAGACACTGTGGGATGATCGGCGAGCCTCACCTTTATACTGAGGAGCCACAAGGAGAGTCAGTCATTGCAGCCTATGCTGCTACCATGACGCTGAAACAGTATCGCACTACCATCCTGTCTGTTAACCTACCCATGAAACAAGGCTCGTGCCGTTCCCAAGCGCCCCCTTGGCAGAAAAAAAACAAACAACTAAGGAAAAACCGAGCCCAAGCTTTCCGCGGAGCATGTCTTGGTAACCTACCAGACGTCGAGCGAAGCACAATGAAGGTCCAAGCCCGATTCTCGAGGCTCACTTCCGATCGAGTCTGGTACCACCAAAATGCTCTACCCCAAAAGGCTTTAAAGTCAGGAACTCGGGGAGTGAGAATACGGTCAAAAATGGCATCTGCAAACTCTCTGGCCTCATTTCTTTGACAAAGGCGTCCCAAGGCCGACTTTGAACGGAAGCCATGAACAAAATGTCACCCTCCCGCCGGAAGTCGGAGCTTTGGATATGATGGCAGTTGACTGTAGCACGCCTTCACAAACCGAGCTCATCGGCACATATCACAGTCCCCTGCCATGGTTAGGGGAGAGCATTCCAAACGGGCTATGCACCCAGTTGCTCGGGGGCATCTCTGGGTATGGGTCAAAACTTAAACCACCAGGGGACCGCAGATTCTAGTCCATATGTCCATTTACCAAAGTTCCATTTTGGGTACCCATTTTTGACTCACAGCCTCCTCTTGAGGGAACTCTTGGCGGGTGAGTTCCAAGCTACGTGCGCAAAGAAAGATTTGAGCTTCAAAACAGGGCAGGCATAGTTTCTGTAGGATGCGGATGTGGCTTTGCGCAAAGATTGCTCCAGTGATTTGTAGCGTGCTCGGAGGCTCATTCTACGACTGGTCGCCTCTGAAAAACAACACGGAAGCAATGCCGGCTCTACACACTGTGATGCATCTGTTGCCGACGACATGGCGCACAAGCGCAAAATTTCGCCGGTGCACTAACGATCCCCCGCCCCGTCGAGTGAGTCGCGGCTTGAACTTCCATTTGCTTGTTCGCCCCCCGGGGAAAAACAACAACAACAAAAGTAGTGATAGATTCCCTTTTGAACCAACAAGGGGATAAAACATATTCTTAAGCAAATGAAAGTTAACTGAACACAGGAGTTCTTGTTGCTATGACACTTAACCTCTGCCGCGAGCCCCACACCATCTCGGGGATCGACGCGGACATCCGACGGGAAAGGACTCTCTGTGCACCAACGGGTTTTCCAGCATGCCTTTATTGGGTTTCTCTTCCCCCTGAGCTCTAGCCTTTTCTAGGTTTAATGGGCATGCCATTTGTTTCCGTCACCCAGACCTGCCAGAGAAGGGATATTTGCCCTAAAGTGCGGGAAGCCAAAAAATCAGACATCTATCTATTGATCAACCATTGGTTCCTCAATCCCTTGGATTAAACACGTCTTCTGGGTGGACTGGCTGGAGAAGGCCGCTCGCAGGCCACCGATTGGGTCCAGCCGAGCACAAGTAACCCTGACCAAGCCTTCGCCAATTTCGAGCCTAGGCCTGGAAAAACAAATAAACGTATGTCCAGTAGTGATAGATTCCCTTTAAAACCAACAGGGCAAAATAACAAATATTCTTAACCAAATGGAAGATCACTTTGGGGACAAAGGCCTGCGAAAAGACTCAGTTGTGACCACCCTGGTTCAGGGTTGCTCCTCCGGCCGTTGGGCTTGGAAAGCTCAAAAAACGGCCTCCGTGCCCGATGCTCTTAGATTTAACCCAGCGGGGTACACCGAACATATCTAACATGTTCTTCTGATTCGTGTTCAGTCAAACATGCCAACCCGCACAAGATCCGCAAAGTTTACACATTTTCACAAAACCTGAAATCCGGGATCCCCGTGGTAGAGGTTCATTTTTCCATGGCTTTCGCTCGCTTTACCCCCGAATCGGTGGAACCGCTCGCCATAAATTATTCAAATAAATATGTGTTTGCTGATTCGACTGCTGGGAGCAAGCCTGATGAAAGGTGTCAAAGCGGTCCAGCGACGGATCCATGTACCGCACCAGGCCAATGCCGTGATGTGCGGATCGCAGATCGCAGCTTCGCTTGATTCACCCAGGGCCGGACTCAACGCTTTGGCTTCTAAGAAATCGAAAACACAAACAGGGTCCTTTTGGGTTCCCTTCAAATCAAGATCCTAGTTAATTTGGGTTGTTAGGAGCATTGCATGATTTGGGCAGTTGGGTATCCTAATGATCTCAACGTGACCCCGCCCTGTTCGACTTTCGACTGAGGAACTGTCGAAGGATCACAGCATTAAAAACGGCAAGTGTGCTGTGCCCTTCGGGTGACAAGCATCCACTTCGCCTTTCAAGTCATCCCGACGCAAGGATTCCCAGTTTGGGAGTGAAAGACTGGTACAGTGGTTAAACCTTGGGGCAATCCCAAATTGACGTGGAATCTGAAAACAGGGGGTTCCCCAAAACGAGTTCCCTCGACAAACGAGTTTTTTCTGAGTTCCATGTGCTAGAGTGTAAGTTCCTCATCCCGTGATCCAAGGGATGGTCTTCCAACAGCTAGGCAAAACCGAAGAATCTGCAACATGGACAAGCTCTGGCCGGTATAATCCTGAAGTTCCAGGTATCGATTGGTCTAGGTCAGTCTTGTCTGCTGTTGTTGAGCAGTGAATCTTGC